TGCTACGAATGCGCGTTTTGAGCCGTAGTTATTCATATCAGACACCGTTTCCGTCTAAGCACAGCTGACTCGGCGGTCAATGCGCACAGTACAGAAACCTGTACCTATGAACAGCACGCATTTAGGAATAAGATTGGACTCTTGGGACAGCTCCCAGGCGGGTCGCGACACCGGCTACTAGGGCACCTACCATAAGATCACCGTCTAGTTAAGATAACGAACATCAAATATATCGGGCGAATTGTCGTCTGCTTGACACAAAAAAGGGGCCACTTTGTGGCTGATACTGTGCCCGACGGGTGGTGTTGGTACAATATTTATTCCCGACGTAGTCCCTAATCATGTTCGCTGCAGTCGCAGGTTGGCCAATTAGTGGTAGAAATCCCTGAACACGACTGCGAAATAGCATCTACTCACCCCTCCCGACGCCACTCTTTTATCAATGTCTTTGAACTGCGATGTGAGTTGCAAGAGAATGGGACCAATGACTGACGGTATTCTGTCCCCGGCCCGACTGGTGCGCATTTTAACTCTCGACTGGCGCTCTAGGTAGACCGCATCTGATTGCAGCGGTTTTTTAATCTGTGGCAAATTTGGGTTAGTTTCGATCGAAGAAGAATGTGTTTGAATCTGGAGCACATGATTGCACATTCACTGAGGTCGATCTCATCTACAGTTGGCCTGGATCGGTCCTCGGCCATTGGTCCAGAAATGGCACTTGGGACCGATGAGGCGCAAGTCGCGACGGATCCCTCTTAATATGACCTTAAAACGGACTCCATGGATATGCTGTCCGAGTTTAATCCCTGGATGGCGTCAGAAAGAGAACTAGGTGTAAAGAAGACAAAGACGCGATCACTGGGCCGGCAATTATATTAGTTTGAGCTTTCGGCCTCACAGAAGAGAACATCGTCAGAGAAAATGATAGAACGGCAAACAGAATGTTTTTGTAGTCCAGCTACGAGGACACGGGGATAACATTCGTGATTGGTTGGGTCCACGCTCTCGTCGTCTCCCGTATAATTTGGGCGTGCGTACTTGCCGTTACGGTTTTTGGCCTTGGCACCGTGGCGTGCGTCCTTGACGAGGCAGCATGCGTGCGTGTCTGGACAGGACATTGGTCGTGCGAAGAGAGGGAAAAATAACAGGGCGGTATATTCACATGCTCGTTGATGAGTTGGAATCTGAATCCCGGGCCACCAGTAGTTCTCGCCCCTTCTTATTAGCAGCGCGTGCCATTATCCGCATCCTCATAGAGTCCAATTAGTGACATTCTTCCAGTGTAGGTAGCAATCTGGGGCAGTTGGTCGCCTTTCCCCACTGTAGTGTTTTTACCCTCTGAACGAGTGCTCTAATACAGCCGCGTTTATGCGCAATTGAGTAGTTGTTACGGAAGCTGAGCACCTAGGCTGTGTTAGTCGTCTTTCTTTAAACCGTGGTACTGAGTTCTCCATTGGATCTGCGCGTAAGGAGGACGCCCAGGAAAGGCAGTTGTCCGACATTCCCTTCCTCCCTTGTGGATTAGATGTCGGAGAAGATGCCGTTAAGCAGGTTTTGGAAGTCTGCTAGCCTGATCCGTCCCATTATAACGAAATTATCATCCACGTGTCGGCACCAGGATGCAGGTTCGAATTGACTGAGGACGACTTTTTCCAGCTCCCGTCAGACCAGTTCTGTGATTAGACTGAAAATCGGGGAACCAATCGGCGTCTCTTTGGTCTATTCATATGTTCTACCATTGAAGGTGAAAAAAGTTTCTTTGACAGAAGACAAAAAGCTGCATTAGATGATCAATTTTTAAAATACCCCTCGATTCGTTATATTTCTTTTCGAGTCGTTTGTGTAGAACGTCGCGTGCCAGGTCCGGTGGGGTAGAGGTGAATAATGCCCATCGTACGACAGCTGCCATGCGTTCGCGGGTCATGCAAAGTAAGACCGAGTGGAGATAGGTGAGCAGTCTGGCGTCATTTATCAAGTGCCATGTCGCGAACCGGCGAAGACCTAGCTCGCGAATAATGGAGCACAAACGGGCAGTGCGGAAGGGTGGCCAATTGTCCCAGATCGCTACCTACACTGGAAGAATATCACGAATTAGACTTCACGCGCACGTGAATGAAAGCACGCACCGTCAGTAAGAGGGGGCGAGAACTACTGGATACCTGGGTGTCAGATTCCAACTCCATCAACAGGCATGTGGAGATACCGCCCTTTTATTTTGCCTTCCCTTCGCGCGACCAAGGAGCACTGCCCAGTTCGTGCCTAGACACGCACGCTGCCACGTCAAAGACGACGAGAGCGAGGACTCAACCCATCACGAATGCTATCCCGTTTTCCCCCACTCCCATTTCCTTGTAGACGGACTACAAAAACATGCCAATGTTTGCTGTCCTCTCATTTCCTCTGACGATGTCCTCTTGTGTGAAGCCGAAAGTTCAGACTCGGTGATCGCGTCGACCCGGTGATCGCGTCATTGTCTTCTTTACAACAAGGACCTGGGGCACGCATATTTGCTTCTTTTCGAAAGAACTAGCAGTATGACATGAGTGCTACTCACATATTCGCTATAGAAATGCGCTGGGTGTAAGATATTCCGCAAAAGTGAATATTTTCCCCCATCATAACCCAATTTATGTGCCAATCACCACTGTCGCTGCCTTGCACAGCAATGGCTGACATCAATCAGGACGGACAGACGAATTAAGCCTTTATGTTGCTGGTGCTCTCGCAGCAGACATCACATAGACACTGTGTTATGTTGTCGAAAAAGTGTCCCCATGAGGTCTTATTCATGGGAAACTCATAGGCGGATACTGGGCCTGGATTGCGCGTCTGCTACCGTGTCCGATCTCGACTGCAGCTTTTATGATACACGCGATGAGTGCAACTGACCTTGCCGGGTCATACTCGGTGTGTCACGGCGTCACAGATAACGTTCTTCAGGAAGAACTCGAGAGCATCGCAGGTCTCCTCGTAGATGAAAGCAGAGATACGCTTCCCAACCTCACGGCGTACAAGAGGACGGATGGTAGGTTTGGTGGTGCCTTGGATGTTATCACGCAAGGCCCTATGTGGACGCTTGACTCCTCCTCTACCGCGACCAGACATGTCAGTGAATACGCATCGTGTTAGTCGGCGGACCAGCAGGCGCGAGCAAGAGACGGAATTAACGTCTATGTAGTCACCATCCACCTGCAGTTACCTGGAGGTAATCTTGCCGTTCAAAAATGCAGGCTTTGGGAAGCGCGAGGCTTGAGAAGAAAACGAGGCGAGAACGATTAGTGAGGCCTAACAAATACTTTCGACTTACAATGAAAAACGACTACCTTCTGTTCAGTAGGTAGAATTTTTAACATTATTACTAACCCTCACTGGACCAACGGCGAGCACGTGCAAGTTGGGGGGTGTTCGCTGACCTCGGATGAGGTCAATGAGGCGCATTTTTAATATATTTACCAACCCCAATTGGAACAACGGTGAGCGCGCGTAAGTGGGGGGCGGGTGTCCGCAGACCTTGGGCAAGTTCACTGAGACAATGTTTAGGGGAGAGCGGTGAAACGTGCGAATCGAAGGAGGACGAAAACCGGCGCTCGAACCAACTCGTGCATCTTAGTGAATCCGCGGCGGAAGAAAACGGAAAGTATGCCTGCAGAACAGAAGGAAGTAGTTTTTCCTTATAAGTCGAAAATATTTTAGGCCTCATTCTTGCCGAAAAAGAAGTAGACGCGACTACAAGACAATAATTTTGTTTGTCTCGTGTTTCGTATTCCAGCTCGAGGCCATCTCTAGAGACAGTAGTATATAGGGATACACAGGGCGTTGCACTATTTATAGGATGCAATTGCTAGGTTACTGCGTACCTATGACCATTAAAGTCTCGCCCCGTTATCGATGTTGACCGCCCTATGGTGTGCTAGGCGAGACTTGTGCCACGCAAACCACCACTGTTCCCGTACGCCGTTTCTTCATGTTCCTGTTGTTGCAGCGGACAGTTCGACGAAGTACTTCGTCTGAATTTTTAACTAGTACCGGTGCCGAAAGTATGGCAAATGGAAAAAAATATATTTGACTTCTTCCGATTTTTTTGCATACAGGACTTTGGAGTAAGTTTATTACGGATAAGTCCTCTTGGTTCAGTGGCTATTACAAAATTTAAGCCCAATTTATTTCCTTAGGCATGCCATTTCTGGACGACGGTGATATCAAAACCGCATAATAAATGTCATATCAAAAAGGCTTTTAATCCAGCCTGACGCTTCACTGGAGACTGAAAGTCCTCGGTGAAACATGAAAGAGAAGTGTTTATTAACAATGCCCATTTACTCACAAATGGCATTAAAAGAAAGTAAGAGAATGCATGTACACAAACAAAAGTTCACAGAAATCCGATGTGAACGCACAGCCAAAGAGAGGGTTTCGTTAGCAGACAGGACTCTTGGGTGGACGGTTTATGGTGCCTTTGTTTCTGGAGATTTTTTGCGCCTAAAGTGAATAAAGTCTTTGTAAAGAGGTTGCGATAGAAAAATTGTCGGTAGGCGGAAGCAGTCTAACGCTCAGCAGATCCTTAATTTAATAAGTCTCTTGTTCAGTGTTGGGAACATTGTAAACCTCTGGGATGAACTATGGTTTCTTGAAGAAAATTAATGGGAACGCAGAGCTGTTGGAGCCGAATTGTTCATTTTCTAAGCCGGAAAACCTCTTTTACTATGTTGATGGAAAATAGTATAGGCCTCGGACGGCTATCAAACGTGTTTGTTTTAAACCTCGGTTTGGCTGGGCTAGAAGGGAAGCTAGTATGTTTCATCTCAAAAGTCGGCGTTATTTTGACGCCTTCAACTGCAGCTCTGTTGTTGGCGTCAGCTCTCGACCTTCATCAAAACTAATAATGTGCTCCATATATATAAACCTCGAAGATGTAGGCAGCCCCGAACAACAAGAGGTACTACCCTTGAAGGAATAAGCAAAGTTACACTTTTGCGCTAACCACTGCACCCGAGAGGTCAATTTGGAGATAAACTTACTCTTTAGAAAATGCCACCTTCAGGCTTCCCCATCGCCCGATCTGTTCTAAGGTGTCTCTGTAAAAATATCAAAAATGTTCAGTCACACTGTAGAATTTTCCGAGACGTCGGTAATCGAACAAATATTAGTATTAAACTGTTTCGCATCGTCTGCGTTTACAAATAACTTATCCAGAAGCAACCAGGCGATTGTGAAAGGGTGTCAATTGA